TACAGTAGAACTGTCTTGATACTGGTATTGAAAATCGTGATTTTGGTTTTGGTTGAAAGTTGTTTTGAGTTCCAGATATTTTTAAACTGTAGAAATGTAGCCCTTGCTTTGCCAATCCGCAAATAAGGAATTATTATGGTTTGTATCTAAAGAACACAGTATACTGGCTCCAGACGATCGAAACTAATGATTTCACTAATTTTGGGGTCACCATCATAGACTCATACACTCGTTTGCTTAGTCTCTAAGCAAACCTTAGTTTATTGAATCTCTGATCACACTCTCTTATTGGTCGTAAAAGTTTGATTTTCATCGAAAACATAAATCAAATAATTGATTCTTATTGGTCGCTTGACTAGTCTCATTTGACATATGTACCTTCTGCTTAGAGTGTTTACAAATATTCATTATGTCACCAACATTATAAGCAGTAGAATCTAAGAAACGCATTTCGTCTTATTTGGGACTTGTCTTTGGCTGGATCATAACAGAATCCCATGTTCACTCCGGGACTCGAACCCAACGCCGTTCTTTCCAAACGATATCACATTATTTACTTAATTACTGAATCCAAGTAAGCACTCATTTGTGTATTCGGTAAAATCACATGGTTTGTACGATTTAATTAAATAACAATAAACCAATCATCTCTTGATTGATAAATTTTCAAAAAAACACCTAAAATTACAATATTTATAACATTGATCAATATTCAAAACTTCCTACTTCAATTTGAATTTAGATTATTACTGTTTGTAAATATGAAATATATTTTTAAAAAGTGAATATCTATTCAAAAGTAACATTGTCCAAATCAAATTATACAATTTTGCAGAAATATTTCTTCGATTTAATTCATTTTGAAAATAACTATTAACAAGAAATAAAATGCAAAATGAAATTATCTACTATTGTACTACATTACCTGTACACACACACACACAAATATACATGAACATGTCAGATAGAAAGTGTCTAGCTTGTTTGTTGTTTCATCTCCTATTTGAAAGATGTCACGACCTAAAAACGGCGGAATGTATTTTATTCCTTATAAATCTACTTTGCGTCTTGTTAAGTAAGATAAAAATTAATTGAACGAATAAAAATTGAAAAGGGAAAAATTAATGTTTGATTTCATTAATAGAATCTGTTGAATATTGAACACTGGTTTAAACAATAATTACATTTATTTGAATAAAAAATGTATTTAAAAATTGTTTTAATTTTTATCTATTGTAATTCAACAATCAAAATACAATTTGAATGTAACATTATGAAAAATTGTTCTTTTTTTTACAGTTCACTGACGCTGTTTATTGGTAGAAGGAGACAGGATATTTTCTGTGTTTTTTTCGAACAGAATTTAAAATCTGAATGGATGAATTTTCACATCTTAGTGTGTGTATTGGATTTTCGCAATGAAAATGAACTAAAATTCTTTTTTATCATCATATTGTTATGATGACATGAACTACTTTTATTGTATGTGTTATAAGAATAGATAGACTGTTTCTCAATTGCGATGAATTACAAACAGTAGAAATAACTGACTATGTGAAAATGTTTTAAAAAATTCAACTTAATTCGCTCTTACACATTTGAAATCATCAATCAATCATTGTTAGACCATCATCAGAAACCTGGAAGCACTGGACAGCCGTTTCGTCCTGGTATGGGACTACTCATCAGCAGTGCGCATCCACGACTCCTGCTCCTCGCAGAATTCGAACTCGGGACTTTCGGCATTATAGGCGAACGCCTTAACATCGGACCACTAGGCCGGCATCCAACGGTGTTAATGTCTAACTCTGATTGGTCTACGGATTTTGCGCAACCTCACCCACTTGTCTTTGGTAGTTACTGCCTACACTCGACAGGGTTGAACTCCATTGGTCACGTCTTCTTAACTAGAACTCCGAGAATTCCCTCACGAAGCTAGTCACTAGTGCACAGTTTTGGAAGTTTGCGTTTTTACACATTAGAAATCATCAATCAATCATTGTTAATTCGCTCTATTAATGAAACGACAGTTTAGATTGATAAAGTTTATCCTTGAACATTTATTTACTATGGAATTTCCAAATGAGTTGAATAAAATTTATGAAATATAAATCAGCCTTGTGCCATCACTCTGACTGAATTGTTTGCGAGTTGGTCATTAATGTACAAATGAAGCTATCAGATTTCACAACATCTGGTTAATTAAATTTTGTATTCAAAACAATCTTGAGCAATCCTATTGTCTATGTTATTTGTCAACAAAAGCTCTGTGAGAGTGAATAAACTCTATGAGTGAATAATATAACTCGCTAATTTATGTTATGATCTCAGAAAATTTTACGAGAATTCACAGTTTTATGTTCACATGATTTCAATATTGACTTTATAACAAAATATTTTGTTGATTCTTTTATTGTCTGTTATGCAACAAGATGAGGATTTATATTTTCAATTGTTATTAATAATTTACTCAAATTAATCCATCTCGCTTGTTTTTAATTGCTTTTTCAATCAATCATTTGACTAAATTTTCATCAACATTTGTCACTGCATTACAAACACAACAGCCAAATCACACTTGGCGACGAAGATTTGAAAGATGTAAAAATCCTTTACATATCTAGGCAGCGTTATTGATGAGTAAGATGGATTGAACGCAGATGTGAAGGCCCGGATCAGCAAATCAAGGGCAGCATTTCAACAATTGAAGGGCATCTGCAACTCAAAACAGCTATCAAACAACACCAAAGTTACAATTTTCAATACAAATGTCAAGACAGTTCTACTACATGGAGTGGAAACTTGGAGAACTACGAAAGCCATCATCCAGAAGAAACAAGTGTTTATTAACAGTTGTCTACGCAAAATACTTCGTATTCGTTGGCCAGACACTATCAGCAACAACGTACTGTGGGAGAGAACAGACCAGATTCCAGTAGAGGAGGAAATCAGGAAGAAGCGTTGGAAGCGGATAGATCACACACTGTGAAAAGCACCGAACTGCGTCACAAGACAAGCCCTCACATGGGAGCCTCAAGGCCAAAGGAAAAGAGGAAGGCCTAGGAACACACTACGCCAACATTTGAAGACAGACTTGAAGAATGAACAACAACTGGATAGAACTGAGAAGTAAGGCTCAGGACAGAGTTGGTTGGCCAATGCTGATTGGCTGCCTATGCACCACTAGGGTAACAGGTTAATTAAGCGGTCTAACACTACCGTCCAGTTTCGCGTTTATTAGCGTAGAGACATTATTGAAGACTAATTGAAAAGCAATTTGTCTCACTCTATTCCACTGATCAATTTTTGACGGTAAGCGAGATGATAATAATAATCTGTGATTGATAACTTTAAGTAATCTGGCACCATTAAAACCCTTACTATTCCCTATTCTTCTTTTTAACTCACCTTATTATATTTCGTACTTGTTACTATTATTGATGTTATCATAAAGTTGACTGATTTTCTCCCATTATATTAATTCTTAGTTAACCATATCGGAAACAATATTTAACAAATGCGTTACAATTTTGAATTATAATTTCCAACACACTAATATTTCAGTGTTCTTATTTAATTATACTGTGTTCAATCAGAGTAAATATTATTTCTATACTAAGTCTATCGGTTTATCAAATAGATGGTAATATCTATCATTTTAAGATGGTGGAGAAAATTTGTAGCGCAGGGTGACGATTGGTGGTTAAACAGTCACCTTAAGGTCCATTTCCATTTTTGGACGTCTGCAATTGTCCACGTTCTAGCATGACGTAGTGTGGCTATTTCGTCTATACAGCCATGTCTGAATCGGCTCTTGTTTTCCTCAAGTCTTCTCTTCAAGAACACTAGTTAGGCGTGGAATTATTATTAAACTCAATATCTAGGACACTAAATCAGTTAAACTGATACCTCTGCGCTTGTCATAAGAGGGCTTTTGTCCCTTCTTATAGACTGGGACAGTCGGTGATTGAGACCAGTCAGATAGTATACGTCCAGTTCCCAGATTCCACCTAAGATCTCAGTCAATCTAGCTGCTAAAACTGGTCCACCATCCTGAAGAATCTCAGGAGTTAGCCTATTAGTACCTGCTGCTCTACCTTGCTTTAGATTTCCCATAGCTTTCTCAACTTCATAAAGATTCGGAGGACTTCGCCCATTAGCCATTCAGGTTGACTGGAGATCATGGGCAACCGAAGTGTGCGTGAAGGCCATTTGAACTGATTCCTTAAGTGTTCTGCCCATCAATCCAATCTCTTGGATTGATAATGAAAAATAGTTCCATCATTTTCCTACAGAGTCTCACTTACATTCGGATTCCTAATTTCGGTTTATTTGATACGTCTGAATATTTGTCTGCTATTACCTATCGCCACTGCCTTTTCCATGTCTTTTGCTCTCGCTACCTACCACTATTCCCGATCGTTGCGTAGGCTTCTTATCAGCCTGCGCTGAAGCTGACACCACTCTTCGTCATGTTCAGAGCCAGACTGATTACGGTAGGGTTCTGTTAAAGTTTAATAACAACTAATCAAGATGAAGGTCAACAGAAGAAGCTACAAGTTATATGTGGAGAAATTCGAATACTTGAAGTCTATGCTGCTGCTGATGTTGATGATGACGTTCAGAAGAACAATAACAGCTTCACAACCAAACTATTCAGTTCAGAGAATGAAACTCCATCACACGAGTTCATTTTGAAAATTCCTACTAATGACTTTCACTATTCCTACATCGAATGATCAATTGAAACTTGATCCATAAAACCAATCATGAAACGTATTACTCGACGATTCAGATGTCTGATATGAGACTGTTTCTTTCTTTTTAGTAATATATTTATTTTTTTGTAAAAACTCAATCATTTGATAAACAGTTTTATAAATAATTTAATTTATAAGAATATCTATGACTGATTAATGATGAATGCATGTTTGTTTATTGATAACATTGAACAAATTTGCATTGAATATTATTGTTTTAATTGACTATTATTGATCATGGTGGGTGCAGAAAGTGATTTTACATTGAAAATAAAAGAGAAAAATGTTAATAATAATTAATATATATAGATATATTTGATTTGTTGTGTGCATTTTTGTCAAGAAAGACATATTTAGTGAGATCATTTTTTATATGTTGTGCCAAATTATTAAATCAAAATGGTGCTCCTGCTGTCGACGATGATGATATATGTTGTTTTAAACCTAAATCAGTCAGTCTCATTATCACAGACAGATATGGGGTCATTCAATTGTTCAATAATAAATAATCAAATAAAGATAAATATATATATTCAAAGAAATTTAAAATAAAATAAAATAAAGAAAAAAATTAAAGTTACTGGTCAAAGAGAATAAATCATGGGATACTCTGCGCATAATGGCAAAAATCTTGAAAGAACTAACTAAAAACATGAAGATAAATTTCTTTTCTTTTGTGGTTTTCATGTATTCTCTTTCTCTCTCACACACAGTCTTCTCAACCTTCTCTTAAAATACAACTGATTCACGTACAATACCATTCGGTATCATTGGACATGTTGTCAGTGTAGTACTACTATTAATACTACTACTATTCACACCACCATCAATAGTTTTAGCATAATCAAGACGTTTACGTATATTGTGAATTTCTTCATAAATTTGTAAAGAATTACGTTTATGTTGTAGATCATCAGATAGTTGAGAAATTTTATGTTGTAAATCTTGTAGTATACCTCTGAAATAAATAATGTTTTATTTTTTTAAAAAAAAGTAGATTGAAAAATTAAAAGAAATGAAGTAATTTTTTTTAGTAATTAGAATTATCACAAATGCTTTTACATTGAAAGCATGATTGAATGATTGTGAGACAGCTATTAAAAAACCTGGAAGCATTGAAAGATGGCCGTTTTGTCATGGTATGCGGCTTCCCTTATACAGTGTGCATTCACGACTCCTACTATACGCTGGATTTGACGAATCCAGAACCTTCGGTCTTGCGCGCGAACGCCTAACCTCTGGACCACTAAAAATTCTGCACAACCTAACCTCCATTTGTGTTCGGTAATTAATGCCTATACCCGACAGATTTGAACTCCACTGCGGTCATCTTATTCTCACTAGAACTCCAAGAATTTCCTCATGAAGTCAGTCACTATTCAGCACGAAACGACCTTTATCTAGTACTTCCAGGTTTCGAATGGTTGTTTAACAATACTTCACTCATGATTTCACAGTAAAACTAAGTGTTAGGACACGTTAAAAACACATTAAATTTCAAAGGACAAACAAAGCTCACTCAGTCATTGTTATGCAGTTTCATACATTTTATTAAAATTTCAGATGTTGAAACATATTCTTTTGATCAAGATTTCGTTGAAATAGGTAATTAGAAGTTCGTTTAAATAATGTAATTAGTATACTCAAAGTGTAAAAAAATCATTTTCATATGGTAGTGAGATTGATTAAGTTCTATGCATTGTCGAATTGATGATATCAATTGAAAAACAAGTCATTTACACATTGTATGCCTATTCATTTTGTTTTAATGATTAGTATTTTATTCATCTCTAGTGGCGCAATTTTATGAATTCATTTCACGTAATAAACTGAGATACTGTGATTAATCAAGCAAACTTCACTATGTACACAAATGGTAGATAAAAAATTCTGACATGTATTACGAATGCCGAACCAGACTGCCTCGTCGAGATATGTTTTGCAGTGTAGGGGTAGGTTGGAAGAAAGCTAGGGGCGGCCAAGCCAAAACATAACACAAATCCATGAAGTCATTGACAAGTGGATTGAGTCATGTTGGTAGATGTAGACTACATGGTTGGGGTCCGCGAGATGATAATTATCGATTGTTAGAGATCTTAAATGATATGACCAACAAACGTCTGTGGTGGCGGAAATGCATTCATTTTTTGTGTTCTCTCAAATCCTAATCCTCTGGATTCTTCATCACCTATACCTTTCTCTTTTTAAGTTTATTTCACTGGATTATACTTCTTGAATATTATCTTCGAACTCTAATCTCTCCGATTACTGCTAATACTCCTAGTACCTCTAATACTATGGGATTTGAACTGACAATTGCGTCTTTGTACTAATGTGGTATGGCAACTTGAACTGATGTACGTACGTACGTACGAAGTTCTACGTTGGCCTTTAAGCAGAATTTCCACAAACCATTGTCTATCAAGTAAATAGTTAGTAAAACAGTATGAAATATCTTATTCCGAATTCGTTTAAGATTTCGTCTACTCTTCAAACCTCATCGATACAAAATCCATAAAGATAACTGTAAAATAACAACAATCGACGCTAATAATATTTCTTCGTGGTGAATCGGTTCAATCAAACGTATGAAGCATTGAAATTCTTAATTTATGACGACTATTTCAGGGGACTTGTTCAAACCTTTTCCGGTCCCTAACTAACAAAATTGTTAAATGAGTGCTTATTCTCTCCTATAAACAGTCAGTTACCTGACGAATAAAATTTCATTTGATCGAAGTAAGCCTTGTGACCAAATCTAGGTAATTTTTCATTGTACAGTAACCTACTTCGTTTCAAAGTAAGATAACTTAAAGAATGACAATAAGATGGGGATTTCGATTCCGTTATTTAAGTTTTCTAAATACACTAAAACAATTTTGAATGTCACCTAATTCTTATTTCATCAATGCGTCTAAACGGATCTTCATCGTCAACTTTTCACACACACACACAGACGCGCACTTCATATTATACTACTAATGGAAATATTAGTGACAAAAAGTAGTATAAGAATGTACTCAAAATAAAATCAAACCAAATATGGAAAAGAAAAACACAAACAATACCTAGAATTTGCAAGTCTTCCTTCTAATAGATCAATAGATTTGCGTAAGTTCGAAATCTCTTCTAACAAACATAAATGTGGATTATCTTGTATATTTTCATTGCCCAATCTATCATGACGTTTTTCCAGACGTGTTTCGGCTAATTTTAAACTTGCTTTTTTCGCGCGTATTGTATCTTCTAAATGTTTAATTTCTTTTAAAAGTTCATCTTTTTCATTTTCAGTCTATAAAATAATCAATAAAATCGTGATAAGAATAATAATATTTGTGAAAATCATAGTTTATGAATATAATTTAACCAGAGTGACTAATGTTCTCTTTCAAAAGTGCTTTGAAATTGTGTTGTGAAAATATTTTCCATGTATGAATCACACTGTTTAAGCAGTTTCACTACAGATTAATGAATGACACAAGTTCTCAAGGGACCTTTTTAATGATTTTTAAGTGGAATTGTTGTGTAATTGTAAAATTGTCTTTATTGTAAACACTATTATTTCGTTTAAAATATCTGTTGCACTGGACGGGAGTGGTTTCAGCCTAGTGTGTGACTTTCATGCAGTACTCATTCACAAACTCGCAGTCGGTAATCTAAACTGAGGCCTTCAATTCTTGCATGAGAATGCTTAACCTCTAGATCACAGATCTGGCATCCAGCTATGTTAATGTCTAACTTAAATCGACCCACGAAATTTCATGATCATCTTCTTTAGGTTTAGGGCAGTTATTCACAAAAAAGGCAATAAAACATGGCTGTTGATCTGCTGAAGTTAAGCATTGACACCATTGGATGCCAGCTCAGTGATCTAGAAATAAAGCCTCTGCATTTATGACCAAAAGTCTCCGGTTTGATTCAAGCATGTGGAGTCACATATGTACACTGCTGATGAGTCCCGTACTAGGGACGAAATGGCTGTTGAGAGCTTTCAAATTTTCAATGGTGGTCTCACATTTATCGGTTCCTGAATTCATTTTGCGTAAAAAATTAAAATGTTGAGAGCTGGAAGTGAATAAATGCGATATTATCTGGCAAGTAGTTGATCAATAGAGTACCTAATCATTTTGGATTCACACGATCGATAATATTGTTAACTTAATAAGTCTAGCTGACATAGATATGCAAATCTCGACTGGATGACAAAGTAGCATCATGCATACAGCAAGCATTTTACCGTTCTGGATTTAATCTTCTGCATAGAAACATCTAAGTGAGGATAATGAGACCAGTGACAGTATAATACAAAACACATTTGAACTACTAATACTAATTTTTTATAAAAAATTTCATTACTCTTACACATTTAATTTGATATTCAATTTCACCGATTGCTTTCTGTGTGTCGTAAATACGTGAATTGAGTGCATTGTTTACTTGACTTGCTTTGCTAGCCATGTTATTGATGGCTTTATGTAGATTATTATGCATACGATGTATGAGTTCATTAGCTTTATCAATGACATTTTCAGCATTCTCTAAAGCTTCAGCACTTATATTCTCCCATGTTTGTAAATCCATTGGACTGAAAAGTAAAAACGAAATAGAGAGCATAAATGAGAAGAGTAATTTTAATTATTATTATTATTATTATTACTATGAGATTTATTCACCACAGATCGATCTTCCTCTCTCGGATATAACTCATACCTCTCCTGGAGAGATATGTGCGACCTGTGCTCTTCATGTCTGTAATAGTTTTTAGTGAGTAATCGTTTGGCATGACGCTTAAAAGCCGTTAGCCTGTTAGTTTCGCATTAATGATAAGTTGCATACTTGGATATAACAATTGTTCATTGCATATTGCCCTCACTTGGAACCCCTCAAGGCAAAAGGAAAAGAGGAAGGCCAAGTAATACATTACGCCGAGAGAAAGAGAGAAACTTGGAGTCACACCAAAGCCATCATCCAGAAGATACATGTTTTTGTGAACAGTTGTCTACGCAAAATACTTCGGATTCGTTGGCCAGATATGATCAGCAACAACGTACTGTGGGAGAGAACAAACCAGATTCCAGTGAAGTTGGAAATCAGGAAGAAGCGGTGGAAGTGGATAAGACACACATTACGAAAAGCATCGAACTGCTTCACAAGACAAGCCCTCACATGGAATCCTCAAGGCCAAAGGACAGATTACGCCGAAAAATAAAGAAAGATATGAGAGGAATGCACAAAAATTGGACAGAACTTGAAAGGGAAGCCCAGGAAAGAGTTGGTTGTAGAAAACTGGTGGGCGACCTTTGCTCTATTGGGGGTAACAGGCGTAAGTAAGTAAGTAAGTAAGTAAATCATGTAGTGAGCTAATTAGAAGTGATCAAATGTAAGAAGGTCATTGATCGATAAGCGGAAATGCTCTAAAAGACGAATATAAATTATCGGCCAATAAATGGACTGATTGTCTAAGGGGAAGGAATGAAAATATCCAAATATATGTACAAATGAGTATTAATGTACATTGTTAGGCAGCTGAATAGACATGCATCTATTCTTTATCTTCTTACTCGCTAATTAAAAAAATTATTTACCAATCAAGAGATATAATAATTGATATGTTAAGTTAATAATCAAAGTCTGATAAAAGTTTGTCTAGCATTATCGAAAATTTTTTACAATAAAATAAACATATAGACAATATTTATTTGCATGAAAGGGTTGTGGAGATTGTTATGTTACTTTTTTTAAAATCATGAATCGATCAATGTTAGACCACCAGCATTAGAAACCTGGAAGCACAACCAAATACTGTAAATTAGATGGGCTCACAGGTGAGTAGTTCCGTGCGGAAGTTTCTCCGAGTTAAATAGTGAGAAGTCGTGACCAGTGTAGTTCAACCCAGTTCTAGCGTGAAGCACTACTCACCGAAGATGAGGTTGCGCAAAGCCATGGATTCATTGAAGTTAAACTTCAACACCATTAGAAACCAGCGCAGGTTAGGCATACGCGCGCAAGACTAAAATTCCTGGATTCGATAAATAAATTATCTTGTTTTAAAAATATTGTGTTTCATTAACAATGTGACTACCGAATAATCATTTTTTTTGCATTCAAAGCAAAAGACAACAATTTCATCATTGACAAAATGTAATTACAACTTACTTTTCTGGTAAACGTTCACAAAATGGTTTATAACTAACACATGATGAATTTTCATTCATATTAAAAACATTTGTATCAATGTGTACAGCATCATTTTTATTTAAAATATCTGAATAAAAGAATTTTTGTACATCATTCATTTCTACTAACAAACGAACTGATTCATCAATTTGATTTTGAAGATCCGTGTGTAGTTGTTTTAATAAATCATGTTCCTGATAGAATGAATATTGAACAGAATTTGAAAATAAGTAAATAAGTACACATTTTTTCAAGGACATTTTCTTGTTAAAAATCAATCCATCATTGAACATTTAAAATTTTGTATCAGAATTTGATAGAGATAGTAGTTTTACCTTGACATTATGAATGAATCAGTAAGAGACCAACCATTATAACCCTGGAAGCACAGCATGGTCGTTTTATGTTGGTGTAGGACTCACAGCATTCGAACATATAACCTTCGGCCTTGTGTGCGAACGCCTAAACTCTGAACCACTAAGCCTGCATCTAAGGACGCTAATCTCTGACTCTGATCAATCTAAGGACTTTGTGCAAGGAGTCATGGATGGAAAACAGAATGCGAACGACCATCCAGTGCTTCCAGATTCATGACGAAAGTCCAACAATGATTCATTCATGATTATAAGGTAAAACTAATACCTCCATAATACTATAATGAAAATCAGAAAATGTGTTCACTAGTGACTAGTTTCGTGAGGTTTTTTGGAAGTTCTAGTTAGGAGACATGACCAACCCTGTCGAGTGTAGTTAGTAACTACCGAAGGCAATGGTGTGAGGTTGCACAAAATTCCTTAGATTGATCAGATTTAGATATAAACACCCCTAGATGTCGTCTCAGTGGTCCAGAGGTTAAGCACTCATGCTCAATACCGATGTTTAAGGCTCGAAACCTATGAGTCTCAGGACTCATGGATGTACACTGCTGATGAACCCCACAGTTGGACTTAACATGGTCAAGTAGGATGTACAGTTCACACTAAACAATCTTACTTTATTGATACTTGGTTCGATTATTCTCTTTAAGAATGAAAACTGACATTTCATATTACCGTGTTATACTACTCATATTGAGAATATGACAGCTTGGCTAATTTGATTAATTTCAAACTATTATGTACTATACTTGCTTTTCTTAAATTATTTATTTCTGAATTTGTTACGCCTGCATGTAAACACGTTATCTCGATATGCTTGAACTATTACGAGTTTACCTAGTCGAAAAACGAGAGCGAGGATCGAAGATCCGGCGACACGACATGCTACTCATATCCGATTATCCCAACCAGCCATATTGAGTAAAAATAAGAAGACGTGATATGAAGTAGAACCTGTATTCTACAAGCATCCAGAAAGTACGAGGTCCGAGTCCAGAAGAGAATCATGATCCCGGACTAGGGGATCCTTGACCGGGTCCTGATCCTGAGCATAAAACGTTACAGATAATCCGTATTTATACATTTAGGTCGAATGAGAAACAGCATCGAAGTCTGTGACATTGACAGGATAAGACGACCAATAGGGAGCAACATTTGAAGTGACATTGACAGTCAGGACAATCAATAAGAAACAACATTGGAGTATGTGACATTGATATCTAGGACGACCATAAAATTGACCAGTAGGAATTAACCAATAAGAATTGAGCAACAATTCTTTTAAGGTATTGGATGAATATCCTAACAAAATTAATTCATTTGATTTTGTACAAGAAATAAGAAAAATATTTCGACCGACCGTGATTGTTAGTTTTGTTATTTTTTAAAAATAAATAATTCGATATCATAAATCCGGGATAACTCAATAGTGCTTGAAGAGAACGGTACTGGGTTCGCATCAGCTATGGAATGCGAGTACATTCAGTCAAAAGGCTAGTCCCACAAAGGACGAAATGCACGTCGTGGATTCCAGTGCTAACCACAATCATTCACTACGAATTATACTATTCAGTTTGAAATTTTGTAGATACTAGTTTAATATGCAGAAAATTCTACTCACAGAACTATCATCAAGCGAAAAAAAAATCATTAAAGATCGGAAAGCGTTGAACAACTACTTCAACTCACATTTGAATTACTCAGTAGTGCCTGACCCATACGCAGTAAAACCGAAAATCATAAAGTTCTATAAAGAGCTTGTAGTCTAGTTACGCATTTATGTTTATCACGTGTGTGAACTCACACATCACTTCATTGTCAAGTTACAGGTGAAACATTCTAATCGATGCGTGCTATCAAAAGAAGTCAGTGAGATATCCAGTAAAGTTTCCAATTTACATGTCCTTGTCTGAGTCAGCAAGATAATTATTGTACATATACATCAGTGATTTTTACACATAATCTCATGTACTTTCTTCAATAATATTGTTAGTTTACAAGTTACAACTCGTTATAGCTATATACGACGTTCACATGAAAAAACCCAGTCACTAGTGTGCACACACTTTTTCAATAAATAACTATGAGAACAGTTAATTATTATTTTACTGAATTTTATCATGTAAATTATCGACCAAAATTGTCTGTCATATTGGACAATTTTACATTCATAATGATTTATGTGTGAAATATGTGGGCTGTATTAAAACACGAGATTATTATTAATAATTCCTATCGGTATTTTTATCCGTCCTCTTTTTCATACGATAGTTGCAATCGTAATAAAATCAATAATCGATAACAGATTTCGTATACATAGTTCCTTCCGTTTAACGTCATCATAAAGCGAGTCATAGTAAAACTTTTTAATTACAAAGTTGAAGAGATTGTCGTTCATTATTGTAATCATAAATCAATCATTGTTAAATCACCATTAGAAACCTGGAAGCATTGGACAGCTGTTTGATCCCACCATAGGACTCATCAGCAGCGCTCATCCACGAATCCTGCGACTTGCAGGATTCGAAACGGCCGTCCACTGTTTTCAGGTTTCTAATAGTGATCTAATAATGATCACTTCATGATTTTAGAAATAAACATTTGAGCAGAATGTTAAGAATTCATTTGTTGTTTCGTTTAGTTCTTCTGGTTAGCTGTTAAATTAATTACATGAAACAGTTTAGTTGAAAGTCATTTGATCATACATTAATATGATATAAGATATAAGTGGCGGGAGTAACTATGACCCTCTTAAGGTAGCCAAATGCCTCGTCATCTAATTGAGTGGATTTATTAGATGACTTTCATTAATGGAGCCTTTTGGGGTTGTGATGGCGGCCACCTCTTCGTGGTCCTGTCAGGCAACGCGGCGTTATTTACAGCGCTGCGGCTAAAAGCCGTTCCGAACGCTTAGGATGCTGTGCTCAGCATGGTCCAGAATAGTGGCACGTGTTCATGGTCGCAAGGTCGTGGATGCGGTTAGCCACTCTGGGGGATTAGGACTGAACGCATCTAAGTCTGAATCCCGAGCGTATGTGAATTTGAAATAATGGGATATAACTTTTCAGGATACCTGACGGCTGGCCTAGACTTCTTGTTTGAGAAGCAGCCCGAAAGATCTCGGACTATTGACGCCGACCCTATGTGGTTGTCCCAAACACTCTGCATCTCGGTGTATTGTGTCAACTGGCGTCGAGACCCCTTAGACAAGGGTCTCCAGTTGGGTTATGTGATCCAATTCTGAAAGGGTACTTGACGATAATGTCTGCCCGCTTATGTAGTGGGAACGGCTGCTGGTTAGTGCACTGCTGGGTAGCTTGGTAATCTGTTTCGGGGTGCCAGGTCTAGCTAGGAAAGCCTGCCTTGCAGCCCTTGCCGATTGTGGATTGTGGGTAGTGGATTGGTTAGAGGGATTTTGTTGATTCATAAGTGCCCGAACGGGGGCCACTGTTCGTGTGCGTGCTTTTTGGATGTCCACTTGTCTGCAGACCAATCTAGACAACATAGGCGTTCCTGTATGGGGCAGGGGTTATCGCAAAATTGGCATTTGTGAGAATCCTTGCGTTGCCTAAAAAGCAGCGGCGTGCATGTGCAGCAGGCTTGTTGGTTAACCAAGAATATGATATAAGAAGATTGTTAATGATTTTAATTGAAAAAAATAAAAGGTTGTAAATAAATACTTTATACAAAAGAAAACTCTACCACTCTGATGATAATAATAAGAGTCTAAAAGGTTAGAAACAAGTTGTTACGCAATGAATAAATGAGTTGAATAGAGATTAGTTAGTTAAAATAAGATTACTAATTCAGATGACAGTCGAAATAAAAATAATGTGGTAATTAGTTCGAAGGAAGAAAGAATTGTCTGAAATCTAACATTGTCATAAAAGATCAACAGCCATCTATTTTTCAATTCATAAAATCAAGTTTTCACGTGCTTGATCGTAACGGCTTCAAACTACTTGCGCTTGGCTGGTCATTTGTAATTATAATTTTATAGATTACAGGTCATAAGCGGCTGACGAAAATCAAACGCAATAAAACGAATTGATGTTGTTCAGCCCAAATCTCTGTTCTTACTCTCTTTAATAACAGATGTCATTAACTCTAAAAAGTCAAATTTCAAAACACCGGATGATTGCTTGAATTCAAATCTCAGTTTCCCAGAATAACTTTGAGTACACCTGATAGACAAATACCAACTAATCACAGACTTTAATCTAAGATAAGCTGAAGATTGTTTTCAACTGCCTTAGTGGCGAAATACGCGCTCTGAGATATTGAACCACTTATACTAGTAGTTAAAGTCATGAAATTGTTCACTAATCAATCATCAATTAATTCGCCTCTGATAGTCAACTTCAAATTTATATTACTTATAGATACTGTCTTTCAATAGAGTTAAGCGATTTCATATTATGTATGTGTTCAAGCATTGAAATAACTTAGCCAGTACGGTTGTGGTGCGCGCTACTTATAAGTAGTATATGACGGGAGTGTAAACGTAATGTCTGGCAGCAGAAGAGGATGAGGGAAGATCAAGAAAGGAAGAGTTGGGGGAACAAAATGGAATTTGTATGAAACGCATGAATAGTGAGTGAAATGTCAGACAATGGATTGATGATGAATTGAAGATTTGCAAATTAACCGTTTACGATATGGTTTTCCTATTTTACTGAGTTACTCTGTAATTTTCGTTAAATACAATTCGGTTGCCCTCACCTGTTTTCTCCTTTACTACACGGTAACTATTAATCATTTTAGTGTTCATATTTTGTAAATCACTCATTTTTGACTAAGATTACTTACTCATTAGTTCAACTTGATATTTCAGTGTAATGTGTTTGTTGTTACTCGATGGTTAAAGGGTACAACAATAAAGGAAACAGATCTATACTTTGCACTATTGAATATTGATCGGTACAACACGTCTAAAATCTTGCTAGAACTAGTTGTCTCTACAAGATTTGAATCCATCAAGCTTGATATCACAGTCAAAAATTATCTTTCCAATATAAGTGACAGTTTTTAATATCGTGATAATGAGTTTATTCACAGATGGTTTAATAAACATCGAATCATAAGAATTTTTCGGCTATTTAAATGTTCTTAGTTTCCATTATAAACAAACTAATAGTTTGACTGACATTTTATCGAAATTAAATTAGCCTCTATTTAAACAAAAAAACAATTATTACCTTGTTCAATTCTACAAAAATTGGATCAATAATATTTTCATCATCTCGTCTATGATCCAAATGTGTTAAACATTCAATGTTTACATCAATTGAATCATTTAACTTGACCATAAATTCTTCTAGTTCATGTTGAGCAGCTTTTAATTGTGATGCTTTTTGTTTAAGTTGATTCAATCGATTAATTAAATTGTCACGCCATTGACGTACAGTCCATATACGATCAGATAAATGAGTGTTTGTTTGAAATTTATCAAATCTATAATTAAAACCAAAATAAGCATGATATGATGAGAGAAATAATCGATTTTTAATAATTGTGATTAATTTGTGGAGACTTTTTTACATGGGTGATTTGTGAAAATTGCCAAATTGCATAGACTGCTTAACAACATGCTAATCTTAGATAACTTTTGAACGCTGAAAAGTATTGGGTCAGTGTTTCAACTTAATGTGAGACTTTTCCGAATCGTATAGCCAAAACTAAAAAAATCTGAGGACTAGAACCATGTCCATAAACTTTCACAGTGAGCGCTGAATATTTACATCTAACAGTTTACATGTTTAACTTCAGTCAATAGGTATCTGTAAACAAATGAATGCCAAATCAGTTGTCCAAAACAAATGTACTCCATCCGGGAACTTAATGTCATAGGTTTGTTTTGAAATAAGTTACTCTTTCATTATTTCAGTTCAACTCTTACTGAATATATGACTGTTTGGTTAAAATCTCTATAAATATAGCTCCACAAAACGCTTATTTCGCGTTACGAACTGCAAATAATCAGTAATTTACTAAATAAAAATACTAAATAAGAATAAATCTGTTAAAATCGCAAAAAATCTCTAATTTGGTGTTATTTTTCAATAATGTGTAATCATCAATCAATCATTGTTAGACCACTATTAGAAACCTGGAAGCATTGGACGGCCGTTTCAGCCTGGCATGGGACTCATCAACAGTGCGCATCCACGACTCTTGCTGCTCGCAGGATTCGAACCTGGGACCTTCGGTATTGTCCAATGGTTAGGCATTCGAAAAACCAGTGGATAGTTTTCATGAAGCTGATTGTAGCTAGACGACCATTAAAAATCTGGCAGCACTGGATGTCTGTCTCATTCTTTTGAATGGGAAATCTCAATACTGTACTCTCAGGTTTTCGACAAAGTTCCAATTTAGATCATTTTGAGATTTTAACTACGAAAGCAATATGTTCGTCACAAATCTCCTATACTTATTACATGTTCATTGAAAACTCTTTCTTCAACCCAAAGACGTTCATATCTGATAGCGGTCATGAGAATTTTACATTATTGAGTAGAAATTATATGTCAGGAATTTCTAACTCTAGTTCATTAATCGGTTACGGTTGAAATCTACTATTCACAGCTTTACATTGATAATTCAATAGTTTTATGCTTTCAGACAGTCAGTAATTTTCAAATTATGTATTAAATAAGGCATGAAATAATCCATTTCGTTTGGAAGCTGAACGTGAGCTAATTTCTAAATTTTGAGTTCGCGATTTACTGGTAATAGAAAGATAAGGTATCATTGATAATATCTTTACCTCATTACAACTGTAAGACGTGGACATTGAAGGTAAAAATATAATGATAAGAGGTTGTTAGTACAGAATAATAAATGTCATTTAAGCACAAATCCTATGAATTTTACCCCCTGAATGAATATTACCAGTCAAATGAACTGAGTAACAGTCCTTGCTAGTGATTAGCTTCGTGAAGAATTTCTCGGAGTTCTAGTTGAGAAAACGTGACCAATGGAGTTCAACCCTGTCAGGTGCAGGCAGTAACGACCAAAGACAAATGGGTGAGGTCGCGCAAAATCCGTAGATCGATCAGAGTTAGACATTGACACCGTTGGATGCCAGCCCAGTGATCCGATGGTTAGGCGTTCGCGCACGATACCGAAGGTCCCTGGTTCGATTCCTGTGAGGTGCAAGAGTCGTGGATGCGCACTGCCGATGTGTCCCATACGATGACGAAACGGCCTTCCAGTGCTTCCAGGTTTCTGATGGTGATCTAACAATGATTAATTGATGATTTCAAATATGTAAGAACTGACCTACGTTGGTAGATGTAGACCATATACCTGGTTTGAGTCGGCTAGACAAAATTTACGGATCGTTAGAGACCTTGAATGACATGGCTGAATCCATTGTTTGTCTTCTCTCAAATACTAGTCTTCTGAATTCATCATCACCGTTTTCTTTCTATTTTAAGTTTATTTCACTATATTCTACTTCGTGAATAATATCTTTGAACCACAATATTCTCCATTACCACTAATACTTCTACTATAATTACGACTGAGGGATTTGACACGACAACTACATCTCTGTGCTTAAGTGTTATGGTGACTTGAACTGATTTACATACGTAAGAAGTTATATGTTGTTTCTGACTGACTGGTTGATTCCCGAACTTAAGCTCACACAGTACCAGTTAGAGTTGATGAAAAAAAATTTAAAATTATTTCACATTCTGTATTTTTAGATATTATTCTTTCTATTTCTATGCATTTTAATTTATACTACTTCCAGTAGTATAATTATTTTGATTTTTTTTTTGTGATTTTATGAGTATCATTACATTAAATGTAAAACAGTACAATATCACACAGATTTGACATCTAACTAACCAGAATCGCTTATTGTTTATAACTTATTATTTGAAAACTACTCAATCTATTCTAGATTTTAATGAACGTGTTAATTCATATAATTGAATAAAAGAGAAATTTTTATTACAATTAACTCTACACAAAATGGCAATGATAATAAATGTTGTTTTTTTCAAATAGAAGCAGAGATTTCTTAGATTTTTAAATAATATTTCCTATAATCAGTTATAAGAAATAGATCACAGATAGAAAAAGATGACTTATACTTGGGGTCACAATGAAATGATGATAAAAATGTAACACAAAAAAACCAATGAAGACTACATCAAGAAAAAAACTTTTAAATCGACAGTTTAGAGTAGTATCCCAATGTCACATTATATAGCTAGCTAGCTGTTAAATATATATATATTTACTTGATTTGAAGAAACTTACGCACTGCTTATATCTGCATCAATTATTGTCTCTTTAACTAATTGACGATTATTAAATGATTGATTTCTTGAATCTTCAACTACTTTCTTTTCAACATTCAAATTTTCAAACCAACTGGAATAAGATCGTTTAGTATCTGGTTTTGTTGCAGTGGCCATTGAAAGTATTGATTACCAAAGAAATTTATATATTTCTATATTGAATGTAAAAAATATCATTAAAAAAATTCAGTTTAAAACAAGATTTAAAATGTTTTAATGAAATGAAGATTTATAAAAAAATCAAGTTTGTTAATTTGGCTTAATTTGATCGATTTATTAAGATCAAGTTATCTTGAAAATAAGCAGTTGATCAGGGTTTGTAATAATTGAAAGTAAAGAATTCCGATTGGCAAGTACGTATAACAAAAATGGGCAAGTTGAGTGACTCATTCATACGATGCATATAAAAATTGATTCTAATCCCAAATACATTGGTTCTGCTTTGTTTAATTCTATTTATTTAGTCTCCATGACTAGTTCTCAATTATATACTTAAGCCTGTTACCCCCAGTGGAGCATAGGCCGCCGAACAGTGTTCTCTAATCTACTCCGTTCAGGTCTTCTCCTTCTATGCTGTCCAATTTTTGTGCATTCTTCTCATGTCTGGATTCGAGAAAGAATAATTCAAATCCTTAAGTTATTAATTTGCCAAAAATTTTATCCCATATCATTTAAAGTTCTGTGCTAACATCTCAGTTGGAGTTTCGAATAGACTCCCATCTGGTATTTGTCTAAAGTCTTGAAATCTATTCACTTGTTAGCTAGATAGATAAATAGTCAAGATCTTTACAAGATCAGGTAGAAAATTCTGGAATAAGCTCTTAATTATCACTTCTAACTTTGCATCTTAACGTAAACCCAAACATTTTATTTTTTTATGATTATAATATTAAGTCATAGCAACGGAAGAAGCTACAAGACAGATTTCCATTTAATCGACTATAATGTTAATACCGTTTGATGATAGCTTTGCATATTGTTTACCAAAATTTTGCACTCAAATGTGAATAATTCATGTCAGTTACAACGTAGAACTTCGTAGGTAGGTAGGTACGTCAGTTCTAGTTGCCGTACCACAAATCCTGTAGTAGTAGAGGTAGTAGAAGCATTAGCAGTAATCAAGCAGATTACTGATCGAATATATCATATGAGATATGTACCCCAGAGGAATCAGTTAAAAAAGAAAGGAAAACGGTAATGAGTAATTTGGGATATTAGGATTTAAGTGGGCCCGAAAAATGGATGCACTTGCGCCACTGCAAACGATTTTGAGCCATGTCATTCAAGGTCTCTAACCATCGGTTACTACTGTCTCGCAAACCCCAAGTAAGCAGTTTACATCTATCAACATGATTCAGTCCACTTGTCAGTGACTTCATGGATTTTGTGCTATGTTTTGGTTTGGCCGCCACTACCTTTCACCTAACCCATTCCTACATCGCAAAATACAGCCCGACAAGGAAGTCGGTGGTTAGGCATATGCAGCACATGTCCCAACTACCTTAACTGATGAAGTTTCATTACTTCATCAACTCACCTTCCATCCTTACCTAGTACCTGTTCCCTTACAACAGCATTGCTCATTCGGTTTTCCCATGATACACGAGCAATGCTTCAAAGACACCTATGATCGAAAACCAGTAAATAATGAATATCTTCTTCTCTGACTGACCATGTTGCGCAGCCATAAAGTAGGACGCAGCAAATTGCTGCACAAAATACTCATCTTTTGGTTAGCACACTGATATCTCTCCTGCGACATTAACGGCGAAAGTTGGTAAAAGCCACTCCAACCTTCTCTACCATGCCATCGGCAATGACGAAGCTCCCCAGATAAGTGGAGCGGTCTACACGCTCGACTACACTCGCTATCACTAGTTCAGGTGCCGATGCTGACCGATCTTGAAACATCACTTTGCATTTCGAGGGGGAGAATCGCATCTCGAACATGCTTACATTGTTGATTAGGGTAGTCAGAAGACTTTGCATTTTTTCAGCGTCTTCACCCTAATACTGGTGTGCCGTAAGAAGAAGTTAAGACCAGATGAAATATATATGTTTAGAGAAGATACATGTTATTTACCAAACATGTATACATATTCTTTTAACATCAGTTTTTAAAACAGAAAGGTTTTAGTTTGTCTACTGCACCGTTTCTTCTGGTCTTTAGAATACCTTGATCACGTCATGCGTTTTGATCTCCTGATACTCTCCTATTTGGTAGCATACTACTTATATATCATCCCGTGTTCAACGTCCACCGCACTGTCACATTATTCTTTAAATATATCTTTGAAACTGAATTTGTTTGGCATTAGTTTGTCGATTATAATAATCAAAAATATCCAGTTTAACTGTCTCCATACATGACAAAAACGTTTAAAGACACAGAGCATTCATTTAAGCTTTCGTTGAGATTTTTATGATGAATCAATAGTCTCTGATAAGACTTTTCCAGTACAGTGCATCTATTTTACTCTTCAATCTTCAAACAATGTGTGCAAAGTTTCAACTAAATTTTACTAGTATACAAAAAGTGTTATGGAGATGAATACCTAATCTAAATTTATATAGTTGAAAGTTCATCGTTTACAATTTCTTTGAACAAGATCGCTTAGAATTATTCTTTGTATTTCCTTTCGAATATTATACGAGGAAAACTATATTTTTGTCATACTGAATATATACTGAGTCTAAAAAAACTGTACAACAATGTGCTGAGAGAACTTACTTAGCCACAGAATATCACGTATTATGATTAGTTGTCTTAAAACTTATAATTTTTCGAAAGGCGTCGTCACATGGAGAGACTAGAAGTTTCATAATATGAGACCTAGTAAAGCATTTATGCTAAATTATAAGACTGGCCTCATTACAGATTGAACAGACAAATTAAGTTTCTTCCGCCCTATAATTCCTTTGATTACCTCATTTAGAAGTTCGCTTCCAGTTGTGTCGGTATCTCCAAATGTCTGGGCCCTGAGAGTTCATGGATTATTTCGGTAAATACCTCGCATAAATATGTCCCACTATTGATGTTTTATAATCCCAACATTAAGTGTCTTATCTTAAAATTGGCGACATAATTCCTGAAGGTGATTATCATTGATGATATATTTAAGTGCAATTGGTCTACACGTTAGTTATCGAATCTGGATGAAGGAGTACGACTTCTGAGATTATTAAAACTAACGTTTTTTTAAGATTTTATAACGCTATCGTATTAAAGTTTTACATAAAGCCAAAGATTACTCAATCATCATCAGCAAAGATCAGATGGTAATCATCCAAGTAATTAGCTATGGGACAAGCAGTCGTTTGACCACATGGCAGATGTTACATCTGAAGACAACGTGGATAGTATAGATTCATGTTGAGAACACTCGTAATGAACATGCAATGTACTGTATTACCACGGAAATTTGTGCGTAGATAAAGAACTACTTAGCTAATGCACAGTTCAAATATCCGAACAGGATTTTATCGGGTGCATACCATTGACAGATCATAGTACTCAGGTTTCGTAGATATCGTTACCCTGAACGTTTTTTCCCAAATCTTATCATCGAAATAGTATTTAAACTCATTTTTACTGACATAAGAGATTACCGTTTTAACAGTTCTCAGGACATGGCAGTTAGAATGAAGCAGAAAAATTCAACAACCATACTGATACCTTACCACCAATATTAAAAAAACTATTTGCATTCAAAGCTGCGTGATATTATTTGATAAAGATAACTTCAGAAAAAAATTCAATGAGGAACTTGCAAATATGTTGAATAGCCGCTTCAGTTGCTGCGATACATATATTTTTTCAAACAAAGAGCACAGTTTCGAGCAGAACGCACCTTTAGGCAAAAAAACAATAACCAGCATCTGTTCTAGTGCTTATAGTCATTATTCCTCATATAAGTCAAATTCTTTTTACAATGAACATTGTGTCTAGAAAGAGTCTCTTTTGGTTTTACTCTCAAACAACTTTTTACTGTCGATGACGTGTATCGGAAATTTGTGAAATCGGCAGCATTCTTGCCCGAATAAAGATTTAACAACAGTTCTAATGTATTAGTAGTATTACAATTACTAGTGTTTCTCAAATGTTTGGAATGTGGTTGGATTGGTTCGAATCAACTTCTGGTAGAAAGTGAATTAAACACGAATTGTGACTGAATGATAAGACAATGAGATCATATCTCTAATAAGTGACGAAAATCTTTACGTCAGCTTTTACTATCTGGAGCTCCTCTTAATTATAATTACTGAAGATAATTTCAGTGCAATTCGTATGTCCGTGACTGTTGTTGGTAATTAAATACCGAATCTTGTAAAATCTTATCTATTTTTATTTTTTACAGCCTCATGATAAGGGTTATGTGGTATTTTACACAGACATGTTAAATCCACACACTTTCATATTTATATTGGAATACAACCTCTGAGTCAACATATGATTTCCGGTTATAATGGTTAACTTGTTCTCATTTAGAATATCTTGCGTCTAAATGCTTACAATTTTCCTTCACATTCTGCCTGTCCATTTTTTTATTCTTCATTTTGTTCCATTATTTTATGTATGAATAACTACTTTGGACATGCTTGCTTATTGATTCTAGCAACAATATCGTGGAAAAATTTTTAAAACCATGACCTCGCACTTTCGATTTCACTCGTATAGCAACAAGAGAACAAGAGATTTAAAACTGGTATACAGAATACTGAGTGCTTCCAATGTTGAGTCTCTTGATATATCTCTTTGATATAACTATTCCAGTCATGTGTATACTTAATGTGATGTCAATCAACGTCAATCTTCATTCAGTTGTATTATTCAGAAAATCCATATTTGACTGGATCCTATGAAGAAGTTCATTACGAAAATCTCGTTTCAAACTGGATAGGGTAATTCTCATCGTGAATCGACTTTACAAAAGTCATTGACAAACAATCGCCAGTGAGAATATTGCCGACTGACCAACGGATTTCGGAAACAGACAAACGATGGTCAAATGAACATATGTGAATTGACTTGCTACCTGGTTATCCCAACAATAATATCCAACTCAACTAAATTTTACAAGCTCGTCACAAAATATTGGGCAAGATAGATATACTACTAACCATTCCACCACTGAGTCATCAACTATTGGAGTTTTCCAGCTAGT